CGGAAAGTACTTCTGTTAGAAGTGGAAAACCCAAAATTCTAAGAAGGCGCACCTTCAACTTTGAAGGCCCATAAAATCTTTCGTATGCGACATTTTGGAAATCTGTAAAAAGTTTCAGAAACTTCAAATATTTCTCTAACAAAACAGTATAAAAAGTTTAGTGATTGTCCTTTTTCAAAAATTGTCCCGTTCGAACATTTTTCGTGCAAAAGCGAGTTTTTGGGCTTTCAGCGACCATAACTCACTTCATTTTCATTTCTGTGATGCACTTTTTTCATGGGGTGAAAGTACAGGATTTGCTCTTTCTAACAAGCACCAAACCGTTTTTCAAAGTTCATTTTCGAGAAAATCACACGTTCGAACATTTTGTTCCCATAGGTTTTTGAGCAGCACATGCGAGTTTTTGAGCTTTCAGCAATAATAACTTCCTTCAAAGAACTTGTTGGGGAGGGCGAAGACATTTTTGAAGACTACGAGATTTCTGCTTTCTTATGTGTTTTACCGTTGTCTGGAAGAATCGTCCTCAGAAAATTAGGTCCCGAAGAACTTTAATTTCAGCCCCGAGAAGTCAAACCTTTCATAGGGATGCATTCAACTGTTCTTTATTCCTCAAGGAAAACACCGTAATTTGCCTAAAACTGTCTCTCTGTGCATAATTAATCGAATCTAATGCGGTCTGCACAAGCAATCTTGCCCTCGGATACGCCACGCACGCGCCTGTGGCTGGCAGTCCTCGAAATTGCGACCCCCTTCCGACCAAAATGCGACCCCTTCGTTCGAACAGTTCGAACGGACGGTTGACCCTGGTTTGAATTCACCCAAACGACCTTAGTGTTAGCGGTAAATTCGTCTACTCCCTAATTCATCTCACAAACTGAGAGTCCCGTTTCACGGATTTTTTACCTTTTGTTTTCTTCTCACCGACGCCAACTCTGCTTGTGTAAACATCGCTACTAATTTATCATGATCGCTGTCTTCAAAGATAGCTGGTTACCTTTGCCTATCTTGTTGTTTATTTATTATTTACTTATCTATTAATTACAAGTGCATAGCTGCCCTTCAAAGCCAATTGACATATATTGTTACTTGAAAAACCAGAATTTCATGCATAACATGGTCACCTGGAAATCGGTCGCGAAGGACAGTATCGGATCGACAAGGATACGCAGCAACAGCGTGCATCGGACAACCGCAAGGATTCGCATCATTTCCGCATAGTTACGTTGGAAGAAGCACTGATCCTGATTGATCAGCAGTGCGGCACACCTGCAACAAACAAATCTTCACTCAAACTGTGCTCTACCTCTACTTTCATCTTCAACATGTTCTTCACATAAAATTTCAATAAATAGACAACCTCATCCAGACTCGATCTTGACAAACAAAAAATAAGGCCATACTCACCGAGCTGGTGAGGTAGTAAAAACGAAGTCACTCTCGTCTCACAATTTCAAAACGCCTAATTCTACGCGTTGAAACGAAAAACAATCAATTATCTCCCAGCCACCATTTAATGAACCACATTTTAAATCATCGGAAATTACATAATACCCCTACACCAGAAGATTTTCCCAACCAGAAACATCATCTACGGTCGAGCTAACGAGGCCTGCCGAGTACCATAACCCTGAGCGTCGGTCAAAATCGTCTTGCACATCGTTTTGTCCCCGCCCTAGCTCCATCAGTTATATACTTCTAGATTCATTCAGCAGTTAATCATCAATGATAGACTTATAGTAGCAGCTCTTAGGCCCGGACAGGGATTACGGTGAGCCTCGTTGGGCTCAACGGTGACGGCAGATGAGTCATATTCTGAAGACTAGGGGCAGTGAAGGCGGGCTTGTTCTGCTTATGGGGGGGGGGGGGAGGCACCTATGGATCTGCCGTAAAACATTCATATTAACAACGGCATCCTGTGCGACGAAAAATTTGATGATGTGCGCCATAGGCGAAGTGACTCTTTTTTTTCCCCCCCCCCCTGTATTTCATGAAGACACTGAATAGATTAAAAGTCATGCTCGAAAGCTACGATCACTACGGCTAGCAGACAGTGTGGTTTTGATTACGGTATTGGATGTCATTGAGGACTAGAGCCAGAGTGGATGACATCAGCTTTCAGCTCTCTTCCACCAATGAATGTCAAAGACGTCATCAAAACCGCACGCCTTCTGGCCATCGTGATCGCTGACTTTGAAGGAAAAAGACTGAGTCAGTAAGCACAATTTTCTTTAATGTTCCTCCACAAAGGACTGAAAAGCTTATTTCTCCAACACAATGTGAGTCGCCAGAATGAAACAAGAAATTTTATCATCCAAGTACTTCTGTCACTGAAAGACGAGGGTAAGGCAATCGGTAGGTTGGGTATAAATTCAGTCACAATTCAGCGAATGCTGAGGAATTGCTTGCTAATTAATCAACACCTGTACTCGGATGTTGAGTCTACCGCGGTATGTACCCCATTACACGACTCCTCTATGATGGTTGAGGTAAAGTGGTTGAACCAAGCGAGGGCTAGGGGCGTCGTGTTAAATATTGAAACGGCAGAGGACAGTAGATAAATCCTTCATTTCCTGAAACTCCTGGAAAACTGCAGCATTTCCTTTCCATAAGAACCTTTTAAATCGAAACTAGAAGCCATTTTGCCCAATGCCATCAAAAAATTCCAGGATTCATCCTTCCTTGTCTGGGCCAGCTTTTCTAAATTGCTTTTTGCATGGAAGATGTACTTTCTCCTGCGGTCATAATCAATGAATCTATATGGAGAATATCTAAGATTCAACCCACCAAATAGCATAAAATAAGTAGAGAACAGCGAAGGTGCCAACGTTGAGTGCGAGTTTCCATAACGGGAACCGTACTCGTCGACCGCCTTCGGATTTTGTGGAATCTCGCTTTTTAAAGGAGTCCACAAACTTTTGTGCACGTTATCAACAACACTGAAAGGCTTTCGGGAATGCTATGCATTACAATAGCTTAGAAAAAGTACTTTTGTGAAAAATATTTCCTGGGAGTGGTTTCGTTGTTCGGGATTTAAAACGAAATTCGGAACGCATGTAGAAGTAGGAATTTCCCGGTGGCATGAATGTGTTGTAGACCAACAATTAGACTGGTATCACGGTTGCGTACTAAGAACTCTGTTCAGGAACGGTTCACCAGAAATCAAACAAGCCTTCCTTCGTTGCTGGGTTCTATAACTAACCCCATTTTTATGGAAAGATAGAGGCACTGGCTATCACATAAGCCAGCCTGGGCATTCTTGTGTAGGCCGTTCAGCGATCAACTACGAATCTGCGGCTTTGAACTGTAGTGAAATGTATGCACGTATTGAAAACAGATGAATCAACGCCCAATTCGTTGACATCGTATACGTTGGATGCTATGCACCTACAAGAAGTGCTGCAGAAAGGTCTCCACGTAAAGGTGTATTCGTTATCCAAAGTTGAAGTAAGGACTTCCTCTCACCCCCTCCACTAACTCCTCAAATTAGCGCAGCAGTAAGTAGGTACCACTCTGTTGCAGAACCACTTTAACTTGTGTGTTCAACTCTCAGGGCAAGGAAGACCCCAACGCTAACCTTTCGTGGAAGGGGAGGGATTCCGTGTTGGGTGGGCCATTCACGCTGTGGCAGAGGTTTGAGTGTGTGGTGAGATTTCAGGAGTCATGAGCAGCTGTGGCACGAAAGTGAGGCAAACCCGGTTCCAAAAACTGAGTCCATCCTGTAGAGCGCGTGCTCCACATCCATGAGGCTTGAATCCGCTCAGTGTGAAGGCTGAGGTATCCTGCCGGGATCAGAACTGTCTCAGATGTTAAAGCACTACAAGCTAGAGCCACCCCAATGATGACTGTTTGATAAGATGAGCATTCAGAAGGCCATGGCCTCTAAGCTAGAAGCTAAATTAGTAGCGTATCCCAACTGGAAAACATGGGCATTTTCTCTTCAGCTTAAAAATTGAACTGTTTCAACCTTACCTGTGACAACGAAAACAAACAGTGTGAAGGCGTACACACTAATAGTGACGAAGTTGCGTGTTCTGAAACGTATGTAGTGGAAGAACGAAAAGGAAGAAAAAGAGATAAGCTTCAGCCTTGAAGCCCCTGCTCAAAAAAGCAGCAATTTCTTACCTGTACATATTTCTCAGGCAAGTCTCCATTTTACAGCCTGACCATTCATTGAGTGCAGGAATTTTCACCAATGCCGAAATACTTAGGGTATAGCTGATCATCAGAATGAACATCACCCAACTGAAATATTCTTTATGACTTCTGCTAAAAAACACATAAGTTGCCATATGGGAATGAGGGTCCTTCCGCTGCTTTTCGCAGGCGGCCAACTGGGCTAAGACGCTCGCAACACTCGTTGAGGTCGCTCTCTACGCATGGTGCCACCGGATCGACGCCAGAAAACCCTACCCGCATTTGCGCTCAGACCATGCTTTTCTTTGGTGATAAAAGTTTTTTCCTTGCCATTCCTCAAATGCGTTCCGCCGATTGAGATTTCAGACCAATCTTCTCCACGCTGAATAAATAAATTGATGGAGCGGGCCAGTAATTGAAGCCTAAGGCTGCTCTGCCTGCTGCTAAAAATGCGCGTAGACTTTGAAGGTAGGACTCTACTTTCGTAGCCTTTGTCCGAACATAACCGTTTCCTAGCATATGCTGGGTATTTACAACGCTAATCATTGAGAGCGCGTTGGTGTCTGTGTCTCGCTCGCCTTCTATACTACAGCCTTTTAGAGTCCTGTAGGCTTTTAGAGTCCTGTAGGAGCACAATATGGTGTGGCTTCTCCAGAGTGATACGCGCAAGTGCGTCCGACTTACATAGGTTCTTGTGGGGCGGGGGCGTGAGGGGGGGGGGTTTGGGGGGGGGGTGTTGGCGCGGCTGCGGCGTGGAGGGGTGGTGGGGGTGTGAGGGGAGGAGGGGTGGTGTGGGTCGGGGGGTCGGGGAGGGGAAAGAAGGGGCGGTCGCACGTCGAGGTGTTGGTCCTCATGGTCGTGCACTTTGGCAGTTTTTTTTTTTTCACAAAGACTATCCGGTCGTTGACAGAAGAGTTTCCTCGGAGCAAAATATCCCTATGTCCCGCCTATGAGTCACGCAGAACCACTTCACTGCTTCTCGACTGTTTACGGAATATGGCGTCATCTTATCGTTCGTTGGCGCTCAGGGAGGCCTACAGTAATGCTTTCGGCCTGACGTCTTACATTAATTTGCTGAAGTTGTATTTTTCCCAATTTTTGTTTCGGTAATTTTACTAGGGAATTTCAGCTCTGACTATGGACCCGCGGAACCCGGCCTCGGTTTAGCAACCGTCGATAATGGTGCTACGATCCGGGAGGGCGCATTTAGCCTCGACCAGTGCACAATGTTTACTGGGGCAATTTCTCGATGCCGTGCCAGCGCAGCTGTTTCACTATTTAGTTTTCTGTATAAAATGGGTTCTTCTTCCACTTATAATTGGAGCATTCGGCGTTTGATGAGCGAAGTCTGATTAAATCCATTGTTGAATACAAAGGACGAAATGTCTTTTGTTGTATTGCCCCACTGCTAGAGAATGGATGAGCCGCCTTACAGAAATCACTTTCTGTTTTCTCACCGCAGAGTCATTAAGTCCTACGCCTTATTTGAACCCCTGCCTTGAAATGTGCCTTTAGGTCCGAAACTACCATGTCCTTCATGATACGTTATTGAAATGGGAATCAGAACCTATAATAAGGATCTATTACCAAGCTCCTGTATCCAACTCACCTAAATATTATCAAGTTGATGCAGCGCTTCATTGTGAACCATTTCCGATAGTGAAATGGTCGCCACACAGCGAACAACTGAAATAATAAAATCAATAACTATATTACGACTTATAAGTGAAAGTGGAAGAACTTGAGAACCTTGAGCACTGAAAGGGCCACGTAGGATACCATTGCCGACCAAAATGAACCTATGAAGAACGATTCCATCAAAATGACCATGTCACGACTGAAAAACGTTCTAGGTAAGACCAATCTCCATTAGGGGTCGAACAAAAATAACTTTGAAATACAGGAAATCAAAGTAAAAAATAAAAATGGATTGAATATTAAATACTGATTCCAAGTAAGGCAGGATGGTTAGTGAAACGTAAGGCAAAAATTGAAATCCTGATCGGAACATCTGAAAATTTTAAGGCATCCTCCCACCTTACGTATTAAAGTTATCTTAAAAACAACCTCAGGACTCCACCATCCCCCATGAAGGAAAAAACGCCAAAAATCGTACCACGGCTTTATACCACTATAGTAATAGATGGATCCCCTTCGATGGATAGACAGCGCTATTTGCAAAGGATACCGACGAACATTGACATGGCGTGGAAGTGTGCAAAAATGCCGCTAGCGTCTAACAGTGCTCCCGATCAGTGGTCCTGCATGGTCCTTCTTCCGCTTGTTTCACAGCGGCTGTGGGTCATTGCCCTCTCGCACGTCGTGCTCTCTCGCGTGATCTCTCTTCTCTGCGCGCTGTGTCTCTCCATACCACCACAGCCGACCACAGTGCAACGCCAAGCTCGTAATTGTAGCGTTTTTTGTTTTCCTTTTTTCTTTGACCACTCCATACCTATTTTTGTGCGCTCTTACTCACCAGAATTTTCCCGTGGAGGGCCATTTTTCATTGATAGCTTCGGACACGCCCCTGATTTGCAGCCTTACTACCACACCCAACTTCTTCAGTCCTTGACGAGTTCAACCCATTTTAGGCTTCTGGGGACACAGAAATCAACTTTATTATGGTCTGATCTTCACATCCCTTTAAATGAAAGCTGAAATTGTTAAATGCTCGGATATGCAAGGTTGATGTTCGTCTATATCAGCAGATCTTCAAGGTCTACAAAAGGCGCGAATCATCCAAACTGATCTCTCATTGTAGTTTAACAATTGTTCTCCCAGGGAATATGTGCTATTAACAAGTGATATTATTATTTTGATGTATATGACTTAATATGACAATTAAAGCAATTTGAAAGATTTCGATAGCAGGAATTACAGTACTCACTTGATTTCAGGCCAAAGCAGCACGTAACCACAGACAATCAAAGCGACGATACACGAGACAAGATCGCCAACTGCTCTGTTCAACAGCAGAATGTAGCATTTCCGACTGACCACTCTAACTTTTATGGCCTGAAATTGATTTTGAAATAGATAATCTATCTT